TTTGCATACCAATAGAAATTGGCAAGTAAAATAAAAAAATGCAAAATATAAAATCAGTTTTTAAAAACGAGTGCCTGGCAGTTTTGGACGGTTTGTGGATGTTAGAGTGGGCTGGCCAAAAAGTTGTAAGGCAATCGATAGAAATTTACTAATGAAAAATGAAAAAATATCAAAATATCACAGTTTTGACAGTTTTAGGCGGCTTGTGGCCTGTAGAGTGGGTGTCTCATGTCTCTAGCTCTTATATCTTAAATCTGTATACCAAAAAAAAAAAAAAAAGGGGTAAATCACATGAATCATGTGAATATGGTTATGCTAGCTTTAGATAATTTATACACCCAATTCCAATTGGAAATGCTTGAGATTGTAATCTTTAATAAGAATTTACAGCTGAAGGACAAAAGTAAGAGTAGGACGGAGGCAACTTCAAAATTGGCTATGCGGTGAATGGTCCCAGCAATTTAATTGCTTTTAAATCAGAGCCCTAGCCATGAAAAACTAATTAAAGTCGTGGGGTTGGGGCTGGGCAATTTATGGAGATCAAGTAGCCGCCCCGTAGTCATAGCAATAAACCAAAAGACAAACAGCAAAGGACAACTTCATCGAAAATAGCCAGCATTTTTGGGGTGGCAGCCAGCCAAATGACATAAGTAAGCGGAAAAGAGCCTCGAGAAAGTCTGCAAATGAATTGTATTTTAATTGTGCGGCATAAAATTGTAAAAATACGGCATCTGACGACCTTAACCATTTCTTTTCGGCGTTCCAGGTCCATTACTTTCCAGGTGAATGGAAGAGCGGCAATAAAATGAATGAATTAAAGCTGCAAATCGTTGGGGGTCACTACAATGGCCAGCCCAAGTTCCCAAGTATCCCATAATGTCACCTAATTAACAGCTCACAGCCGGGAAATTAAACTCAACATTGCGAGAGGGATTTCATCTCTGAACTGCACGGAATTAACGACTGGGTCAAGTCGTTTGTAGGGAAACAGAAGGCAGGTTATGAGATCTTAGCTTAATTCCAGGCGACATTGTTTGGTGTGTTTGGCCATTGAAAGATGCTACATATTTGCATACATTTGTGCAGCAAGCTCATTTATTTGTTCTACTATTTTCACAGCTCTCTTGACGTTTGACTGACATTTCGTTGCGATTGCAAATGGCATTTGTGCGTTTTATGCCACTGTAATCCTCTCAACGGCAGTCGATTGTGACTTGTTTCAATAAGGAACAACTTTGTCCTTCTTTTATGCAATGCCAAGGGGTAAAAGTTGAAAAGTCTTTGCTTGGCTGCTGCGATTACATTTGTTCTTCTTTATTATGCCTTTCCCTGCGACTAAAAACAATGCGGAGCTATAATTATGCACTTTTTATCAGCAACAAGCGAAGGTGAGTCTTCGCTGAGTTCAAGTCTAATGAAAACTAATGAAAACTTGCAACATTTTGCAGTTTACCACTCTCCCAGGATCGCATTATGTCATTAGTGCTCGTCTCCTACATCGGAGTTCTAGAATAAAGATACAACAACTAAGCTAGCCTCTAAAAAATCTAGATTTCCAAATTATTGAGCCAATAAGCTGTTTTATACGCTAATTGTTATAATAAGAAGACGATTTAAATATAGCGACTGCGAATTAATGCATTTTATTTGAGTTACACCGAAATTCGGCATCGGTGCGATACATTTGGCGACTGATAAGAGCGAATGATAAGAAGCAGCTAATTACAGAGTGAACAACTCTTTTTTACTGGGGTATACAGAAATCTTTGTCCTCTCTCTGTGACAAAAAAACATTAAGCCCAACTGAACTTACTACCTAATACCTGTTGATGGCCTCTCCTTTCGCAAACATGTAAATAGGATAACAAGTATATGGAAATCAAAAGTAAATGTGAAGATGGAATTTAACAGAAATATAAATGTAAGTTCATGCAGTCGTTACTACGGTAATTTAATTTGTTGAGGCAATTTAAGATATTTCCAATTCTGATAATAAATAAATAAAAAGTGATAGTAAACGAAATGCAAGCCTGACCCTTGACCTGTCAGCGTGGCACAATTTATGCGCCCGATTTGTGAGCCTGGCTCGCAGTAAATGCGATTGGGAAATATTTGCTGCCTGTCGCCAAGCAAACATAAATTAAGTTGCAGGAAATCTACGTAATTTACGCACAAGCATTTCATTCCGGACTATGTGGGCAATTTTCCTCAGCTTTATCTATAAGTTGTTTATTTTGTGGCTAATGTAATTTTTGGCAAATAATCATCTAATTTGTTTTCCCATGCCTGTCCTGCTCGTCGCGTATGCATTTAATTTATGAGTGAGCCTGGCAGCCAAATGATTTGCATTTGAATGCGGGATCTGCTATCCAACCCAAGTACTACACTAAGAGATATAATGGTCTTAAAAATGTGCTTGGCATCAGATCACGAAAAGGAATTTAAATGCCTTTAAACTTTAAAACAATACTTCATTGTAACATTGATTTGCTAAGTGAATAGATAAACACAGAACGTATTTGGCATTGTGACAAATGTCAAGATGTTGCTACATAATTGTTATAATTATAATTGCCATTTTTCCTTGTGCAGCGCTGGCCGTTCTAATCGCCTTAAGCTGTTAAATGCCAAGAACCAACAAATAAAAGCTTTGCAGCCCTTCAAGACTAAACCCTTTTGGCATTGGGCGCTTTGGGGCTATAAGAGAAGCCCCAAAGCGTAGGGCACATGCTTGTAGTGGTCGCAGATCTCAGGCCAACTGGTGGAAGCCAAAACCAACTCGGGTTGACACATGACAAAGGTGGCCTTTGAATCAAAGCACCCGAATCCAGCTCGCTGACCACAAAAGAGGCGGCCCACTCTCAAATGCAATTCCTGCCGAGATTTATGGCACCCGCTGGCTGCGTGCTGGAAAATGGAAAATGGGAGAAGAGAGCAGCAGTGGAATCAAAAGCCTTTCGCAAGTTGGAGCCCAAAATGAGGAAAGCTCATCACGCACTTGGCTCAAACGTGCGACTCGGCCCAGATGACATGTTGATGCCGTCTACATTCAGTTCGAGCTCAGTTAGTTCAGTACGTGGCCCCATCTGACGCACTACATTCGGGCGAAATTAAGGACGTCTCTACTACTCTGCGCAGAGCAATTGGCGTGGATGCCGGGGATTAGGCCGGAAGTAAGATGCTTAAACACTTTTAAGCATCAGCCGGCTCATAGATCATGCAAATCGTCACGCAAATAAAATTCTCGTAATGCTAAAAGCGACACAAACAATTTAATAAAATCCAGCTTAAAGGAAATTTACATGCTCCGCAGGGCGCCCAGATATTTTGAACACCCCAAACCCCCGAGGTTCGGAAACTGTCTTCTTTTTCTGGCGCAGAGTTCATTGTGAAAGTTTTTTTTGCATGCCATACACGACTTTCGGCATTTTCTTTACTTTCCTCTTTGCTCCTTAGACGTCTGCGACTGGGTTGACTCGTTTAACTTTTAAGCCAAGTTTGTCTGCCGACATAGTTTCCTTAACCTTGTCCTTCAGCCGAGCTGTTCCCAAAACCGAATTGGTTTTCGCCCTGCCGTTTGTCCAAACAAATGGTAATAAGCTCAAGTCTTTGACCGTGATTTTCCAGTGCAAAAACATATTATGCAAATGCATAAGACTCGCCAATGAACTTTGCTGGGATTTGGTTTTAAAGTGGTTAAAGTAATCAAGCTATTCTCCACGAACACTCAAAAAAATATGATGAACAAAAGTTTTCTCATAAATGTGGACGTAAAAGTCGATTTACTACTTTCGCAATCGATTTCCAAACTTAGCTAGTGAAAAACCATAGGTATAGGAGTATTCTTTCAGTGCGATTTATCACAAATTAAAATCAAAACTCCTATATTGATCAGATTTACTATTTCATTTTCCGCGATTGGATTTACGCTTATATGCAGATGTGTAAAAGTCGCTGTTCAAATGTGAATTAAACGAGCACGGCTATATGCAAATAACCAAAATCTGGCGACCGACTATGAAATCGTGTTAGAGGCCACCCATCTTCCTCCTCTCAACTTATTTCCGCCTGACTTCCAACTTCCACGAACCGAATTTAAATCATACAATGAAGAAATATTACACCAGCTTCGAAAATTTCATTTTTGCTGCGCCTTCGAGCTGATATCAAACACAATTTTCGGAGGTGCAGGTGAATGTAAAAAAGCAATCATTAGAGTGAAAGTGCCGAGAAAAAGTTGAACTAAAATATGATAAAATTTGAATACATTTATGTGCGATTATACGTGGCCGAAATGGAGCTGTATAAATGCAAATATGCGTGTAATCAGCTTATTTACGCATGTTTATTGTATCAGGAGCCTGTCGCCCGAAATTATATTCAATTTGTGAGTTATATTTCCTTGGGCTTACCAGGGCGGTCAATTGGGGAAAGTTGGCCGGAAGCTTAAGTTGTACATTAATTCGGACAGCAGGTCGGCAAATATATAAATATATAATTAGGCAGCAAACCAGCTTAAGTTATTGCACGTCCATTTCCATAGCATTTGCCGTAGAAAATATTGTGCGAGCAACTGTTCCTAACTCTTTTTATCGGGTTCGGAATTCGGAAAAACTGCCCCGTCTGTCATATTTTTTGACTGTGCACCCTGCAATCCCACATGGCGGATGCGCAATTTCTTTGTTCCCTTCGCGCGGTGAAAATTTTTTATTTTGAGCTCTGGGCGAAGTTATTTACCGTAAAAATATAACTTTTTCTTGCAGCTATTTTTCTTTTCCTTTGTCCTTTTTCTGAAGTGGCTGTTTGTTTATGGAATTTTCATTTGTCTCCTTTTTCGCTTCCTTAGCGTTTCAGATGGCACATAAATCTTTTGCTCGCTTTCTGTGATTTTTATGTAAATACAACAGACTCAGAACTGCAGAGAACCCGTCATCGGAGCACAGTTACATATCATTCACCAGCTGCGAAAATCTAATCTCAGGAAATGAAAGGAGTATCTGTGCAGTTTTGACAAGCCGCTTAGTTTACTATTACAAACTGAAATATTCTCATGAATCCACGTCTTTTAGAAACCGGCACTCTGGTTCATCCGGTGGTAGTCTCGACCATTATAACGCACTGTAGTCCAGTAGTAAATTACGTCCCCATCCTTCAACTCCACGTCTCGATTAGTGTACGTCCATCGGCCAGCTTCATCCGTCCCAATGATATCTGCCGCCCAGGTATGATCCGCCAGATCAACAATTCGTTGGTTCAGTCTGCCGTGAAATGCGAACAGGGAAATTCCCGGCTCATCTTCTATAGATACTTCAAATCCGCGTCGTTCTGAAGAAGTTACGCGGGCTGTTGGGACTTGATAAGTGGACATTGTATTGCAAACTAAATACACCTAGTGCAATTCTCGGTTATATATGGTCAATATTATCAGTGTAAGTATGTGAATGAAAGTATTCAGTTCTCTAGCGATAAGATAAGTCGATACGAAATGATAACTTTGGCTAGCGGAAACTTGCAGCTATAAAAAAATGTATTTCCGCCTTGCAATGTTGTTTTTTTAGAAATAATCTGGGGTTGATCGCAAACAAACTACCAATTGTAAAGAAATAATATTTGTTCGTTTCATGCGATACATAATCATTCAATAGGTTATTCGTTTTAATGTTCAATACTATTAATCACTAAATTAAATTAGTGAAACTTATTTTTTAACAAATATCTTATGAAGACATTAATTCGCAAAACCGCAGTGTATATGCGTACTACCAATCAGTGATTATTGGTACCCACTACACCAGGGAACGTGTTGCTGACTGTATCTACTGAATTGCTTTGTTGTGGGGCTCGGATGACTAACAGTTCCAGGAATCATTACAGACACGTTATGTGGCTTAAGATAGCTAGTGGGCATTTGCCTCTGGAATTTCATTGTTTGCCACAGATGGTTTATTGCACGCGATAATTTCACACACAAATGCTCCCAAAGAGCCAGCTACATAAGCCTCACGCTTAATTGGAAAATATTGTCAAGCCATTCTGTTGCTCCTGACAGCATCCTTCTGGATCCATCGCATCACTGGATCCCGGCTCACTTCATCCGGCAGCCACACTTGACTGCTGATTAATTAAGTAAAGCAAATCAAGCGATGAGCAGAGATCTGGGTCAAGTAACAGGATCTGTTAATTAATTTTGCTTAGTGCATGTGTCCACCCTGTCTTGGCTAATGGCGGCTGACTTTATTTGGCTTTAAAGCCGCAACCGCTCAAAATAAAAAGAACAAGAGAAAAAGGAAATAGACGCGGAAAGCACACAGCCACCAACTCTCATTGAAGGCAGAACAACAGCCACAATGGCCTCCCCCGATCCTTATGACCATCTGATAGTCTTCATTACGGCCATTCCTGCTGTTGTTCTTATTGGAATCTCGTGCTGTGTGGCGCCACTCAAACACTCAAATGTTGCGTATGGGCCTCCTATGCTCGGCATGGCCCACAAAGACAAGGCATTTGTATAAAACACATAAAAAAATGTTTGAACAGCCAGCCTTTCCGGGGGCGTGGCTGAGGTTTCAGCCGGAGATTGTGCAGGGGTTTCCCCCGCCAGGGACAAACTACATTTGCCGGCCATACACTATAAATAAGCGCCACATGCTCAACATTTTTATGCTGTTTTATTGCATTGCGCTAAAAGGCAGGCCCGGAATTGAACCAATTCCCAGTCCACAGGACTCCGCATCCGCACATCCTGGATCCTCGCCTTGCTGCCAGAACCTTATTATGTGCTACATTTAACGCCCTCTGATTTCCAAACGCTTTTGCTGGAGCCAACAGTGCTGCAAGCTAAAGATACATTAAAATGGCTTAAACAACGCGGATAAATGCAAGTTTCTCGCTTAAAGCGCATTGACTTACAGCTCTATTCGATTTGGTTCTAGTGCCCTCCGAAATCGTTTATATCAAAGAAGACAACTTATTTTTCAAATATATTGTGTATTACATTTTTTCAAACTATTGTTTCTATTCAGAATATGAACAAGTTTATAGTGAACCGGAAGGTGAGAAACGTCTTCAAGTGACTTTTTGCGAGAACAAAAAACCCTATATTGAATATTAGGTTTATCCTTTTTGTGACTACGGAAAAAGGGCAACACTGTTGACCCAATTCAACTTGGCAAGACAACAGCCGAAAGCTGAGCAAGCAAAGCTGCGCATTGTGTCAGTCTTGTTTGCTGTTTCCATCTTCAATTTGCCATCAAACCCAAACCACAAAAACACCCATGGCAATGCAATAAAATTAAAGTTTTTCTACTGTTTTCCACTGCGGTGCCCTAAGCCGCTCCTTTCCCGTTTTCCTTAGCGGAATGTGTACCTGGGGATGGTTTTTTAGCCCCCGGTTTCGCTCGCTTTTGAACCGTCTAGCCCCTTTAGTGAGCAAATCGATGAGCAGTCGTAAAACGCTGCCAAATTTATTGCATACTTTTGTGCGTGCGAATTACGTGCGTAGTGTTCGAGTGTGTGTGCGTGTGTGTGCCTTAGAAGTTTTACACACTTTTGATTGGCTTTTGGGCAGCTTAAAGTTTAATAACAAAAGGCGTAAATTTTATGGGCGAAATCATTAAATCGTTTAACGCAATGTGTGTGTGTGCTCGCGTGATTTAGTTCCGTGGGAGTTTCATATTTAGTAATTTACCATGCAAACAACTCGGACAGTAAATTATATGATTATCTTCATCGCGCATAAACAGACGGCACATTTAATTAATTTTGTAAATTAAAACCAAATATTCAATTTGCTCCGAATGCAAATCGAACAATTACACTACATTGCATTATAATATCGCAGTCATTGAATCAGTCGCGGCAATAAAATCAGCCCCTCGCCGAGTAAACTCTCAATATTGCAACTTCCCGGCAGCCATCGTCAAACCCAATGGCCTGGCCACAATGCAACAGCTAAAACGGCGGAGAACAATGGCCAGAAGCAGGCACTTGAAGTCCGGCCAAATGGCCTACTGGCCGCAGTGCGGAAAACTGCAACATCAGCATCGGAATGGGAATGGGGATGGTGGTGGGGATGCCTTGAGAACAGACGGCACTCGACACTGGACTTTAAGTCAATCGAGGCATAAAAAGTGTGCGCAGGAGGAGCTCAAGAGTGTTTCCTTCCACAGCAGAGCGAAAGTTTACCCAGGTTTCACCAAGAGCAGACGGGCATTTATCAGGATATAAACGTTTATTCAGGAGATGGATATTTTTAGAAGTGCTACTCCACACACGACTAACGAAGGAAAGGACCCTCGAATCCCAAACGAAATGATAAAAACTTGGATGAAGTGGCATAAAGGTATATATGTACGAGCATGTAAGTTGCAATGTGGAATATAAGTTCCCTCACAGAGGGTGTTCTTAAATTGAGCATAAGAACGGCTATGACTATAATTATGTATATATAATTTATTACGCTATATATAAAGTACTTGGAATCCAAATAAATTTTAATAAATTGGAAACAAAAATAATAAAATGAAAAAAAATTAAGTGCTCCATATTAAGTACTTTGAACTGAAATAAAATTGATTAAATTGGAAACAAAAATAATTTAAAAAAATGAAAAAAAATTAAAAATGCTTTCAAAGTATTGGCGTGACAGTTTTGGGCGGTTTGTGGGTGTAAGAGTGGGCGTGGCAACATTTAGCTTTTAGCAACATCTCAGCTTTCTACCTTTTATAGTTCGTAAGGTCGAGGCTCTCATGACATGACCAGTTCGATTGGACTATTGATCCTGACCCGGAAACACTTCCTTCTGCCGGTTTAGGGAATGACATTTCTTAAAAACCGTTTGCGGTAGAGAGAGCAATCAAGAAATACTCTTATTTCGTAGAACAAATGCGCAAATATATAGCATATAGTTCAGTTCAAAAGTAGGTGAAAAAGTAGGTGGTAAAACACATTGCACATATCTGAGACAACAAATACCTGTACTTAAAACCCATTTGAACGTGCTGCTGCCAGGATTGAAAATTCCAGGACGCAGGCGGCAAAAGCAATATCCTTTTTCCAGCGCATATCTGCCACCGACGATGTCACTAATTGCGAGATTTTCTGCTGTGAATTCGACAGGAGATCTCTTTTGAATTTAGCGCGACAAATTTTCTCCAACCACGGCAAATGCAAATATTTGCGATGTTTCGCCGACACGTTGGGCGGGGCACTCCTGCTCCTCCGGCTGCTCCGGCAGCTCCAGCTCCTGCTCTCCCGTGATTGGAATGCGCGGCATGGAGGCACGGAATGCGACGGAGGGCTGAAATCACGCAGTTCGCATACGCCATTGAATTTTAAATGAAGATCCCGGGACCGACAATGACATGTTTATAAAAAAAGTGCAAGGGGAGCCGCCCAGCCGAGCACAGCGAAACAAGGCGAAGACGAAGGCGTCCCGGCAAGGCCAAAAGCCACTTCTGGCCCGGACCACGCCCCCTCGCCCCTCGGCGTAGGGCGCATAATTGGTGACGTGTGCACGTCGTTGTCACGGTCGTTGGCGCCGCCTGCACATCCGCAGCTTATAAAATTCTACCGGAATGCCGGCAGCACGGACAACCCACTCCGGCGGCTCCTCGAAGCGCCACGCCTGCATCTAATAAACCGTAATGGCAGAGACACTCACCAGAAGTGCTCATCGCGGGACGGGAACGCAAAATTAGCGGCTCTGCGAAAAACTCACAATTTAGCACACAAGAAGTTTGCACAGTTTCGCGAATTTATTAAAATATCAGTGGGATAAGACCAAATCATGTGCGGCATGGAATACCCTGCAACGCTACAATCTTGTTTTGTTTGGATAAGCTACAGCCGCTGGTCTTAAATTGAAAAAATTCGAAATGGGTTTCAAAAAGTGTGTGTGCCAAATTAATAAAAATAAAGACCATTTTCAAGACCTTTTTGAGTTCGTGAGGGCGAGTAGCTAATTAGAATTTCAAAGTTCGTAGGATACTTGACGCCATCGAACTGCTTATGCAAATGGAAGTAGAGCTCCAAGCGCTTCCCGCTAGGCAGCAGCACACGTGGAGGAGTCCGGAAACGGCTTGGCTCCTGCATACGGAATCATTGGCTGACAATGATGTGCAGTCCTGCCGGTCGCCACTTCGCACGTAAAGGGAATAAACGCGAAACTTCGTGGGGCGAGCTGGCTGAGGATAACGACGAGTCTGCGAAAGTTCCTGTCGGCTGCTCCTGTAAGTTTCACGAGCAGCAGCTGCAAGATTGTTTCACCACTCAATGCAAATGCGTTGGCGCTGAAAGTTGCGCTCTAATGTGGCAAGGGGGTGGGGTGGGGGTGGTCGGAAAAGCTGAAAAAATGGCCAGGAATTGTGC